CCTCGATACCGATGATAAAGAAACAAAGAAAGATGTTGCTGATGTAAAACAAGATGTAAAGGAAACAAAGAAACGCATTGATCAAATTGAATATACAATCAAAGGACTTGACGAAAGAGTTGAACTATTAAATCATATGACTCTATCACACGCTCCAGCATGGTCTCGTCATGTTTCAGAATTAATGAATGATCAATCTGATAATGATTGGAGACTTCTCTCTATGAAATTGAACTATTCTAATGATGATATTCGACATTGGGCTACTCAACCAGATCCTTGTCTATCGATGTTGGACGAATGGTTCGCTACACACAAAACAAGAGAAGCTACTTTTGCCATTTTAAATAATTTAAAAGAAATGAACAGACTCAATGCAGCAGAAATTGTAGAAAACGCTTTAGCTTCTGTAAAAAATGTTGTTAAAGATGAAGAAGAAGAATTCAAAAAACCTGAAATATTTCTCAGCTATCAATAGGGACATCAACAAGAAGTTAAAATGTTAAAGAAACACCTAGAGATGGCCGGCTTTAAAGGCTGGATGGACATTGGTCAAATGGGTGGAGGTGATAAACTATATTCAAAAATTAATGATGGCGTAAGATCAGCTAAAGTAATCATTAGCTGTGTAAGTGAGAAATACTCAAAATCAGCAAATTGTTGCAGAGAAGTAAATTTAACAACTAATCTTGGTAAACCAATGATTCCTTTACTTATGGAAAAACTACAATGGCCGCCTGCTGGTCTGATGGGTCCAATTATGTCTGAATATCTATACATTCAATTCTTCAAAAATGGAGGCATGCAAAAAGGTGATAAAGTGTTTTGGATGCCTCCTAAATTTCAAGAACTACTGATGCAAATTCGATACTATGTTGTTCCTGATATGAAATTGACAGCTAAAGATTCTCCATATGCAGGATGGATGAATCCACCTGAAGAAGAAATAATAATACCAAAGAGAGAGCAAAAGGCTGTAGAATCCAAAACATTGAATGCTAAAAGTGAGGACGAAGAAGTGAGAAGTCCCAATGTTTTCATCTCTTATCAATGGGATAAACAACCTCAAATCAGATGCCTATACAAGAAGTTGAGTGGATTGGGATATCATTGTTGGCTGGACATAATGCAAATGGGTGGTGGAGATTCACTATTTGATAAAATTGATAAAGGAATCAGAGGTTGTAGAGTTGTTATTTCCTGTGTCACACCAAAACATGCTTTAAGTGCTAATTGTCGAAGAGAAGTTTCATTATCGGGAGCATTAAATAAACCAATTATACCATTATTATTAGATGATATGAAATGGCCTCCAGAGGGACCAATGTCAATGGTATTTGCACAACTGTTATACATAGGTTTTCACAGGAGGAAAGATAATAAACTATGGGAAGGCGATGAATTTAATCAATTAATTTCGAAAATTGATATGAATGTGCCTGGTTGCAAATATTTGCTAGCTTCTAAGCAGGATTCCGAAAGTATTCCATTCGATTCTAACCTGAATGATGATGTAAAAGTTCTATCAGATAGGAATGTCATAAATTTCGAAAATGATAGTATTGAAAGTGAAAGTAAAAATTTAAATAAGGCAGTTAAAAACCAGTGTATTCTTCCACAAGAAGATAATGATAGAACAGAGAAAGAGTTGTCTAATGAAAAGAGACATAAAGAATGAGAATTAAAAGAAATCGAAGAAGAAAGGAAGAGAATTGAAGCTGAAAGACGGTGATTTGAGTTGGAAAAAGAAAGACATGAAAAAGAAAGAGAATATTTTAATAGAGAGAAGCAGAAACATGAACAAGACAGATCTCAGAACAATTCAAATTCGAAAAAATTGTCCACATGTTCTCTATTGTAATTACAATTTTACATCCAACTGAAGTAGGTTAAAATATTGTGTTGAATCCTCAAATGTAGCTGTTTCAATGATGGATGCCATTGTAGATTATTTCATAAAAAACACTTTTAGTAGAGTATCAGCTGTCTCTATTTTGTTGAATTTTTTAACTTCTAATTCAAAAAATGTATAATTGAAATGGTATTTAGCCATTTTTGTTTTTATAATCTCAATTCTCACTTTTGATGAATAGACTGCGAGCGCCCTCTACAATTTTAAATACATACTTATGAGTTGTATAAGATTTTGAATCATCAATTGTCTATTTGAATATAAAGTGGACAACATGTATATATGGACACCATAAATTTTGATAGGCCAATTTTTAATTAATGTTAAAATTGTTTGTCCTCTGCAAATTAGTATTTTTTGTCTGAATTTATATTGAAAAAGAGTTAAATTGACATAATATTGAAAAAAATTTAAGAAAATGATAATATTTTGTGAAGATTATTAGCAAAAATTTTTAATAATTTTCATAAGTTTTTTCTTTATTTGGCAGCTCAATATGTTTATTGGAACATTGAGTTGACATCTGGTTTGATATTAAAATAGATTTCTCAAACAAAAAATTTTTCAACTTTTTTCCTGTTTTAAGTTAAGTTAATTAGTTATTGAATATTAAAAATTACTGCACATAATTTATATTGTATTTTATTAATTATGGTTTGGAGTCAAGATATAAGGGATTTGGTAATCAAGAAATATAGTGAAATAGGCAAATTAAGGGCAACAGCAAGAGTTTTAGGAATGGCACCATCATCAATTAGGTACATACTAAAGTATAAGAAGCCAGAACAAGAAAATAGGGGAGGTCCAAAGAAGCTTTCCGACAGAGAGATTGTGAGGATGAAAAGAATTTTAAAGAAATTTAAAGATAACAAGCAAAGAGTGACAGCAGCAAAGATATGAAAAGAATTAGAAGTAGATGTAAGCATAAGAACAATACAGAGGGAGCTGAAAAGACAAAATTTCAAATATAAAAGAGTCAGACAAAGAACTGATCTCACCTCCAAAGACTGTAAACACAGAAAAGCATACTGCCTCAAAGTTATTAGCGAAAATCTAGACTGGTCTAGGGTTATTTTTACTGATGAGGCTAGGTTTTCGCTAAGTGGACCTAACAATTTTAGGACTTGGACCAGTAACAGCGAAAAGGACTTCAGGGTCACAAAAAATATGGGGAGAGGTGGAGTATTGGTGTGGGGGTTGATAATCTCTGATGGCATATTTGAAGTCTGGAGGATAAGGAGCAAGCTGAATGCTGAAAACTATAGCTCCTTCATTGTAGAAGATGTTCTGCCTGTCATAGAAGAAATTGAGGCAAAAATGGGCAGGCAGTACATCTTCCAGCAAGACAATGCTGGCTGTCACACTGCAAGAAAAACAAAAAGGGCCTTTAAAAGCAATAATATCAAGCCCATAGATTGGCCAGCAAGGAGCCCTGATCTAAGTCCAATAGAGAACATGTGGCATCTGACCAAGACAATGGTCTATGATAGTCCACAGTTCGAGACAGAGGATGAACTGTGGGAAAAGATTATGAAATGCTCCTATGAGGTTATCAACAGAAATCCACTCTTGTTGCCAGGCTTATATGGGGGAATGGGCAGTAGAATAAGCAAATGTATAGAAAGAGAGGGTGGGCACATACAAAAGTAGACCAAAAATTTAACTATTGAACATTGTTCCAATAAACATGTCCCACTGCCAAATAAGAAAAAAAAATCAGAAAACTATGGTAATTTCTATAAAAAAAAAATATGTAAAAATGTACCCAACTGCTGTTTGTTTTACAGAAATTTATATAAAATTGCAAGTTGAACCTATTATTAAACACTAAAAAAATAAAAAAAATAATCTCTTTCATCACAAAAAAGATTTTTAATATTTGGCCTATAAAAATTTGAGGTGTTCCAACATACCTGTCGTCCACTTTATACCTGGTTGAATAAAAAATAATGGATATGAATATATTAAAAGGCAATGTAGAGCATATTTCATTATTGAAGTATGAATTGATCTAAACAAAAGACAGAAATTATTTGAAAAGTTAACACCTTTTTTGAATTATTCATTGTTGAACATTTCATAAAACATTGCATTTGGCAATCTGTAATGTTGAAGACACTGTTCAAAAATTAAATGAATAGCAAAAGTTTCTATCTTTTTTTCACAACAATTCTAACATTTCATTCAAATTTTACAGGTAAAAAAAAGTATTGAAACTATTCTAATTATAATATTTTAGCATTTTAAATTAACAGTTTGTTGTAAATTCGACAAAGATTGTTTATATCCAAATGGAAAATGTATTAATGGAGTTTGTCAATGCGATTATTCTTATTACAAAGAGATTTGTAGTTTAGGTAAGAGATATTTATAAAAAACAGCTCTCTTTTATCATTTTTCTTCAATTTCACTAGGTGTTGATTATGTATCTACAACATTTGATTGTTTTGGAGATGATATACAATATGAAGATATGGATGACAGTAAACCTCTTTCAACACAAATTTCAGATTGTTTCAAACTGTGTCAAAACACAGTGGGCTGTGGTAGTTTGACAATAGGACTACAATTTCCCACCAAACAGTCTAGATGCCATATGAAAACAAAATGCAATTATCAAATATATAAGGGAAATTATTTTGACGAACTTTTAACAATGATTCCTGTAGGTAAGATAATGTTTTGTTCTAAAAAAAACAAGAGAACATTCAAACAAATATCATATATTCTTTTTGTAGATTTATTCGAAAATGAATTGTGTCATAACGATTCGTTTAAAGAGATGACTGTTGAGCACTGTCTAACCATTCTTTGGAGAAAATATTCAAACTGTTCTTCCGGAAGATTTTGGTATGATAAAAATTTTAATAAATGGTATGAGAAATATTTAAATGGTGTCAGTTCAACTGATGAAATAAAAAATGATATTGAAGAATATGGAAATGTAAATAAAAATTTTGAAATTTTAAATATTTCAAATTCTTCTAAAGAAATCTTGCGAAATAATTATTGTCACGGCATTCAATCTAGTGGAAAATACAATATTGCTTATAGGAAAGAAATAAAACATAATAGCGAAATTTCAAATCCAGAAGAGATCTATCATATAAATCATATAGTAGATGGTATTAAAAATTCAAATGAACAGCTAGGCGGTTGTTCAAAACTATTCAAAATGAATGCTATAGATATTAATTCTCTTTCAATTTGGCTATTTATTGACCTAATTACAGACTATACTATAAGAGATATAGATATCTATTTACCAAATAGGAGATTAGAAATTGGAATTCTTGAAATATCTGTTCAAAAATTCAAAAATATTCTCTTTACAAACAATTCTTGCATTACAAATATCTTTTTAAATACAACAAAAGAGATAAATAGATTTACGTGTCAAAATTCGATGATACCCGGTCAATATGTCAACATTTCATTTATAGATACAGAACCGGAAGTGGTAATATGTGAAATTGAAATTTATACAAGTAAGAACAATTTATATTTAGTCATTTTTGAATTTTTAACAATATTAACACCAATCAATAAATAGATAATTTAGCGTTGCATGCCGATGTATTTGTTCTGTCTGTAAAAGATGCCAAAAGTTATGGAGAGTATCCACTAGAAGAGGCACATCTTTCAAAATATTATATTTCTAGACAAAACAGAGATCATTATTTCTCAATTGATTTGCATGGAAAATTTCTAATATATGAAATATTTGTCATTAAAATCTTTACAAAACAATTAGAAGTGTTTATACTCAATAAACATTTCTTACTGAATAAAACTTTAACAGCCAATGAAAAATGTTCACAAATTCTTCAAGAATTAAATAATGCAACTACTTCAATTGTATGCAATAGGCCTGTTATAGGACAATTTGTTCTGCTAAAAGCCAACAGTAGTACTCAAACTGTAATGAAATTGAAAAGAATTGAAATTGTAGGCCTTTACATTGACAAACCTGGTAATGAAATATTTTTAGTAAACAATTCAAAAATTATAGCAAAATCTAACTATTTTATTTTATATATTAGAATTTATAAATATTGCAAGAGGGAAACCTTGTTGGCAATCTTCCAACTATCCAAACACTAATCATCCTGAATATCCATTTTATGCAGCATTTGCTACTGATGGATCTAGCAGAGGCCATTGCAGTATTACTAAAGTTGAAATATTTAAATGGTTTTATGTAGACCTTCTTAACCTGTATAGAATATTTCACATTGGATTAAAAATGAGACATTCAAATAATGGTATGTAAAATACATATTTTTCTTGCAGTTGTACTTTGTAGGAATTTCAAATATTTACAGTTTTTCTAATAATTTTTTTTTAAATATAGTTTTCAGATATACAAATTTGATATTTAACATTTTGGTTAAAAGAATCAATTTCGTTAATTCTGGAACAGTACATAATTCATCTTGCTTATCAAATGACCTTGACAGTTTAACATCACGAATTGGTAGTACACTAATATGGAATTGTTTTCCCCCAAATGTTGGTCGTTTCTTGTATATACAAAAAACTAGTTCAGATATTTTGGAAATGTATGAACTGTATATTTATGGTGAGTTATTGAAAGAACATCAAAATTATCAATTATCAGAAATTCCACTTATTGAAGCAATTTCAAATTTAAATTCCTCTTGGGATAAAGATAATTCTCCTCTAAAATTAATTGATAACTGTACACATACATTCGTCAGCTATATTCTACAATAGAGAAGTAGTATTGAACCAGTATTGTACTATGCAGATAGCACTGATAAAGATAAGCAGTAGTGACCTAGTTTCGCATAGGGCAGTGCATACACATTATGCAGTAATAAAACCTATTGAATTATATAAAGAATATTTGCTATTTGCAACCTAGCATTAATATTACAATTTATTAATCCATAAATTTATGATTTCGAACTAAAACTAGTTCAATTAATTATCAATTATGCTTAAATTCTAAGGTTAGATTATATTCACTATTCAACAGTATTGTATACACAATACTGTTCTTTTTAACATGCATTAATCAGATATACTTCCTCCTTATATGCTGATGCTAAATTTACTAACTCAATCAATTGAATATCATTATTAAGGTAGAATATAAAAACGGTCAAATATACAATCTACATGTTTTCTTGATTGTTGGACTTGTCCTACTAAAATTGTTACATCTTATGCAACTCTCCAACCTTCGAAATTCAACTATTATTTAGAAGAGGAAAACAATAAAAACATGACCATATTTAGAACTTTTCTTTGTCTTCAAATGTTACTTTTGTTTTTGTGAACATTGAAATTTGTGAACTATCAACCCTTAAAAGAGTATATAAACCCTACGAAATTAACAGTTGATAGTTCAGTTTTCTAACCGTCAGCTAGTTGTTTAAACTAGCTTGTTTAGAACTAGAAGCTCATTTTACTCAATACATATTCTTTGGACGAAATACTGGTGTTTTGTTAATCAATTTCTACCGAAATTGCCTTTGTTAGACTATTTGTGGACAAACTTTAAAGGTTCTATTTGGACCAGTACTTTGGCAAGTTGGTAAATGATTGGAAAGGACGATTACAGTTGTGACGAACCAGAAATTCCTACAATTACAATACAACAAAGTACAAATATGGCGCAGTCGACAGCCCACAATGCTACTTCAATGAATGTTATTTTGGTTTATGAGAATGACAAAGCCAGAGCCAAGGAAGTAGATGAGTATCTTTCAAAAATTAATGAATTAATGTTGAGAATTAAAAGTAGTGGAGCCAAAGTTGATGGTAATAGCTTTTTAAAGTACCATTTGATGACTGGGGCAGCTACAATTCCTGAAGGTATGGTTAATCCTGATCCTACTCAACCAAAATTCAGTTATGATGGCATTCAAGATAATGCTTTGGAAAAGACAATTGCAAGTCTTCTAATTGATGCTAATGAGAAACCTAATACTACTTTGCTGAGACCCTATTCTGGTAGCAAAGATACTTGGGCCTTTAAGAGGAACTTTCAAACAGCTTGTGAATTAAACCTTTGGGATACAGAAGAGAAAAGAGTTCGAATGCTGAGAAAATACACTACTGGAAGAGCCAGAGATGTTATTGAAAGTTTACCCTCCATGGCAAATGAAAATGAAATTTGGGATGCATTGGATGAAGAATTTAATCCAGATCCTATGGCTTACAAAAAAGAAATTGATAGATTGAGACAGTTCAATGATGAAACTGTCCAAAGTTTTGTTAGAAGAAGTAAAGAACTTGTGGAAAAATTCCTACCATTCAATACTACTGAAATGGCTTGTGTTACTGAAAGAGTTAGAGAACTTCAACTGTTAACTGTATTCAGGAATGGTCTTAAAGGAAAAATTGTTAATCATGTGGAAAAAGATGGAAAGATTAACTCAGTTAATCAGTATATTAAATTGGCAAAAAGAGCAGAAATATTTTTTGATAATGCAAGAAAAGAAAGCGAAAATGAATTCAAACAGTACAAAAGGAGATTTGACAACAATCAGAGTAACTCAAATCAAAATGAACATACATTTAAACCTTTTTCTCAAAATAGATTTCAACAACAAAGAAATGGAAATGCAGGAAATAATGAAAAAGGCAGCTTTAACAGACTAATACATGTTGGACCTGATGAACCTAATGAAACTGAAATTTCTAAAGGAAGAATGGCAATATTTAATCTCAAAGAAGAGAAAATCGCACATTTTAAGTGTACTTCTTTGGTAAAAGGCAGAAAAGATTTCCAATTTTGAATGAAAAATCATAATGGAAGAGAGGTTATTGCTTTATGTGATTCAGGAGCACTTTTGTCATTTATTACAGAAAAAGAAATCAGGTTAATGGATTCTAAATTCATCAAGAAAGAAACTACTGGCTTACCAATCATCACTTCAGCAGAGGGAAATGCTTTAAAGACAAAAGGAAAAACAAAACTGAATATTCAATTTAATGGAAGAATTATGGAACAAGAATTCTTTATTATGGAAAAACTAGATATGGCTATAATACTTGGTTGTGATTTCTTAGAAAATGCTGGAGCTCTTATTGATTTTGCAACAAAACAAGTTTCTCTTCCATTCTTTATCAGAAAAGGACAACCAGTTAGAAAGTTTTTGCAATATAACGAAAATCACCAAACAAAATTTGGAAAACAAGGCAGTGTAAAAAAAGTAACTGTTGGAATGATGGGACAGTATTTTGAAGATTCTGACACTCCATCTGAAGTTTTTGATACTCCATCTGAAGTTTCAGATAGTGTGGACTCAGAAATGGAAGTTACTGATCCAGATACTGGCTATGATACAAGCAACACTCATGGTTCAAGCATAGTTTATGAGGGATTCAATGGTTTTGATTCAAATAGCAATTATGGCACAGATGAAAGTTCCAGTACTTCTGAAAATTATGATACAGAAACAAGTATTGAATCAGATCACAGCCCAGACTCAGATTTGGATATAATCAATGGTACAAGCTCATCTGAAGATGAAATTAGTGATTCAACTGATTCTGATCATGGTTCAATGATTGTTATAGACTCATCTGAGGAAGAGCTTGATAACATAACTGAGCCTGATAATGATTCAATGATTGTTATAGACTCATCTGAAGAAGAGACCAGTAACACAATTGAGTCTGACAATGATTCCATAATGGTTATAGACTCATCTGATGAAGAGACTGGAAATATACCTAAGTCTGACAATGACTCAGTTATTCTCATAAATTCCTCTGAAGAAGAAACTGAAGACTTGGCTATGGAAATGGAAATGAAACCACAATACATAGAATTAGAAGATGGAATAACTATCAAAGTGCAAAAAGAACAAAAGAAAAATCCAGTTACTCCTGAAATAGAAGAATTACAGTTGGAAAGTATTGAATTTGAACATTTGTCTAATCAAAATGTACACAATATTAATTCAAATACACTAGAAATTGACAATTATTTACATGTGTCCAAAAATAATCTTGACAAGAACAGAGAAGAATTAAAAGAAATGATAAAGAATTATGAAGATATTATTGCTACAAATCAGAATGACATTGGTTCACCAGATGTTCCACCAATGGCAATTGAATTATTGGAAGATATAAAGCCTTTCAAACAAAGACCATACAGATTGCCACCCAACAAACAGCAGGAATGCAGGGATCAATTAAATGGATTATTGGAAAATGGTCTAATTAGAGCAAGCAAAAGCCAATGGGCTTCACCCATTGTTTTTGTGAAAAAGAAAGAAGGAACATTAAGAATGTGTGTGGATTACAGAAAACTTAACAAGCAATCAAAAAAGAATTGTTATCCAATCCCACATCAGGAAGATTTATTTGATAAGCTTGGAGGAGGCCACAAATATTTTTCTATATTGGATTTAACAAGTGCATTTCATCATATTCCAATTAAAGAAGAAGATAAGGAGAAAACTGCTTTTATTACACCATTTGGTTTATTTGAATTCAACCGCATGCCATTTGGTTTGGCAAATGCACCTTCACACTTCAGCTATATCATGGCAAATTTTGTTATTAATGGATTGGAAAACTTCTGCATTAATTATATGGATGATATTATAGTTTTTACCAAAACATTGGAAGAACACTTTGTAGCTCTACAGAAACTTATGGAAAGAATCAAGGAAAAAGACTTCAGAATTAAACTGAGCAAATGTGCATTCTTACAAGAATCAGTTCAATTCCTTGGTCATAGAATTACACAGAATGGTATTGAAACTGATCCTGAAAAGATTCAAAAAATAAAAGATGCCAAATTACCTATGTTTGCAAATACTCTGTTGAGTTTTGTGGCATTTTGTGGTTATTATAGAAGATTTGTTAAAGATTTTGCAAAAATCACAAAACCTTTGAGAGAATTATTAAAAGTACACCAAAAGACAGAAAAACTGAAATGGACAAAAAAAGCAGAGGAAGCTTATGAAACACTAAGGAATGCAATGACAGAGCCCCCAATCCTTCAACTGCCAGACTTTACTAAATCATTCTATTTAACAACAGATGCTTCTAATTATGCAGTTGGTGCAGTTCTAGAACAAGAATGGGAAGAAGATGGAAAGAAAATAAGAAAACCAATTTCTTTTGCTTCCAAGCTCCTAATCAATACACAACTAAGATATGCAGCTTATCAAAAAGAGGCTTTTGCAGTATATTGGGCAGTACAAAAATTCTCCCATTATCTACAGTATAAGAAATTTTTTCTCTACACTGATCACCAAAATTTGGTACAAACATTTGTAC